TGCACTAGAGGATCGGGACTGAGGGGATCATTGACTATGGCCAGTTCCTGAGGAACGTAACTCAGGATGAAGCTGAAAACATATTTCAAAGCGGTGTCCCTTCTTCTTGCAATAGGTGCAAAAGAGCTTACACCGAACCCGAGAAGCATACTCCAATGAAGAGGCCATAATAGCAAAAATTCAAAGTTCAAGATAATAATCCTTGAACAAAACCCGAATATTTAAAGGAGAACCCGAAGGTTAAAATGTAAGAACCCGAATGTTAAATTTGAACCCGAATGTTATACATGACTGTCAAATCTGAGAAGAAAAAAAAAGAAGCAACCGGCAACCAAGGTGGCCCGAAGATCGACCGGATCTGATGCTCACGCCGGAGACCTACAACGGATTAATGCCGATGTTGAGATGTTGAGATGTTGAGATGTTGAGATGGATTGAAACGACGACGCCGTTACTGACTGTGAAACGGCAATGCCGTTTGATTGAGGCCGAGAGACAGATTGAAACGGTGATGTCATTAATTTGAGATCGAGAAATGATCTTGAATACGAAAACGAGAAACGCGTTAAGAGGCCGCAAAACGGCAATGCCAAAAAATCTGGCAAAGGAACGCAAAAAAGGCGTTAAACGGGTGCAAAGCAGCAAGACCAAGATTTGACAAAAGAATGCAGAAGCGTTAAAAAAAGTTTATTGGAAGGGAAATAATAACTCTAGCTCTGATACCATGATAAAGTAAGAGAGAGTGTGCCTTGGGTAAATTTTTCTTGAGTTGAATATTGAGTGTGCACACATATTTATACAAGTAGAGGAGGGTGAGGTGTGTTCTCACAACCAATGTGGGATTAAAAACCCACTACGTACTAATACTATTATCAACAATATTAACAGTGCAAGAATCTTTTCCTGGCACCTCACTAACAATGCTAATTGTTATGTTATATTGTAATACAGCACACCCTTTTGGTCACTTGTAATAATGAAGCTGAAATTTGTTCCTCAGATAACGTAACTCCCTGCAAGAGGAATTTGTTGGAGTCTGATATCGAGCACTCAGTTTCTACAGAATTGATTTCTCCACAAATGTCGAGCAACAAAATGCAGAAACAAATCAAAATTGAAGAGGAGAATTAGAACATTTTGGAGAGATAGTTGAAGCTGCTTTTTTTTTGAAAAATCTCTATCTGATACATGATGTTTGAAACTTAAGTTTAGTATTTTGATCTAAAGTCCTACTCATTAAATTTTTTATGAACTATATTATTTTGGTGGTTCTTGGTCTAAAAGCCTATTTAGCAAACTATTGTATGTAGTATATTTCTTTTGGTGGATTTACATTGATAAACCCAACTACTTGATATGGTTATGACAGATATTTTCTTTATCAATAGGTATATAGTTATGATTTTCTTTTATGGATGTGTGTACTTGACAGGTACTTGTCATTCTATATGCTTGAAATATTTTGGGTGGAGCAAAAGTTGATGCTGCATACTAATTATTTGGTATAGCAAAATATAGTGAAATGTTATAACATTAACCATATAGATCCGAGACATTACCTATTTTGTTATGACAACAGGGGATTCAAAAATTGATTCTACTTTACAATTTAATAATAGTAATTTAAGCATATATGTAGCTTAGGTTATGTCATTTTTGACCAATTCCATATTATTATTGTTTAAATTTGCATTCCTTTGTTACATCAATTTTCATATATTAAACGAATCCGTGCATCGCACGGGTCTGAAACTAGTATTGTCTTAAATCTTTATCATTATTTTTTTTCGAAAATGTTTCCACCTTTCTATATATTTTCAAATTTAAATTTGACTGGTAAGGATAAAGTTTATTTATTTATTTTTTAATTCGTTACGTTACTTTATTTATTTAAATGCTAATATTTCGGACCACAAATTCATGGCTCAATCACAAGACAAGGTGATACGTGTCATTTTCTTCAAATTGTAAGTATGATCAATGGCTGCTACAGAGACGCAAACACATGTTCTATAATTAATTATCCTGTCTTTTTTGCTCCAGAACTAATTTATCCTTTTTCATCACCGTTGCCTGTTAAAAATATAATAGGGTCAGTCCAAAACCAAAACCCGTAGCGGAAATGTTAGCCACGGTGTCCCTACTGAACCTGGCCCATGATAAGCTTTTGTTCGGGGGCTGTCGACAAGTGATTGGGCCCAAGTGGAACTAGAATCCCCATTATCTGGGCCTTAGGATAAGCAAGTGGGCCTTCAAGCTAGAAGTCCAATTAAAAAAAAGACAAAAAAAAAAAAAGGTTTTCTCAAAAGTTATAAGTCGGGGCTTGAACAACATTATTCGGCTTAATAAATTTCATATCAAACTCACAACAAGCGCTTCTTGGCTGTAAATCTTCGAATTATCTTCTTCAGAGGTTAGGGTTGTACAAGTACTGAGCTCCTGTCCATGAATCACCAGGACCTACAACTAATGGCTTCAACACCGCAGAGGGGCCCACACATACGTACGCATGCTTTCCGTACCATTCATGCTCTGATCCAGGACTGAACACATAGAACTCATCAAATCCACTCCTTTGTACAAGAAGGTTATTAAGTTTGTCATCAGCTGTCACTAGTAGAAAAATGAGCAAATCAGACGGAACAAACTAGACGGAATTATTTCCCGTCTAGCTTGAGGCAAAGTAGACGGAAAATTTTTCGTCTAGCTTGTTCCGTCTAGTTTGAAGCAATCTAGATAGAAAATCCCGTCTAGATTGCCAAACAGGGAGTTAACGGTGTATTTCTGTCGCGAAATTTTGTTACCCTGTCCATGATCGTGAACTCTCTAGGCGCATTGGTGTAAACTCTGCACATTGTCTCGGTCATCTGCGCATAGTCGTCGTCTTCTTCTCCCTCATCCATTCCTCCCTCCTCATGAGCTTTTCCTCTCTTGTCCCAACCTGAAAACAGCGCATCGAAACCTTTGAAAGCCATTATATTGTCTCTTCTCAGGTTTGGAGGAATAATACTGAAATCTGATACAAACGGTTGCTTGTTGTGGTAAGTTGAGCCTTGGAGCCCAACAGCATAAGTTGCATCTGGGGTGCTCACTGTTAGATGACTAATTACAGAGCCGAAGAGATTAAGGGATGATAATCTTCGGTTAGTGACTGTAATTTCTGAGGCTAAAAGATCCTGTTGGAGAGTAATAAGGCATTTGACATTGACCATCTCCTTCGGATCAGTGTGTATGAGCTCCACCTGGGTAGTAGAATGATATTGAGGTCTTTAATTAGTACTGATAGAAATAGAGATAGAGTTGATGTATATTTCTGAAAAGGTACATAAAATGGAGGGTGAACTTCACAAAAACCCTCACGAACTTCGCAGATCGTAGAAAACTTCTCAAAATTTTGAAAAGCATCATTAACAATGGCTACAAGATTGGGACAGTCATGAGCTTAAGCGAGACAAATTCAGGAATTTTTCTGTGATTTATGAAGTCCAAAGATTTTGTAAAACCTTTCAAAATTCAGGAGGTTGAAAATTTTATGTCAAAATGGATCTTGAATCTGAGTTAAACAAATTGACTAGTCTTGAGTCTGGATGCGGGCACTCATTATCCTCGTTTTACCCATGCTCTTTAGGGTTAGTTTGGTAAAAATCATTATAACCAGGTCAACATTAATCCTGACTCAGTTTTAACGGCTTTTTTCGCCTAGTAAAAATTGAGCCTACAATGGTCTAATTCCTCCCAAATATGTCCTTCCCAAAATAGAATCCTCGTCCACTTTTGAGAGATTGTCAAGCACACCCTTAGTCTCATTTTACGATTTTATATCACAACATGAACATTAGAAGGTGGAGGACTAATAAAAGAGCATTCAAGCATAGAAGTAGAAGAATTCATGCCTGAATAGATTGCTCAGAGCTCCCCCTAACATCAAGAAGCCCCCATTTCATCTCACCAACACAACTCAAATCCATAGAAACCCCACCTTCGACAAAAACCTCACCATCTTCTCTCTCCGACACCAGCGTGTGCACCACCTCCATCGTAGTCCCGTGCCACATGAACGGCTTGTACGACGTGATCAG